GTCTTCTTCTGCTTGTTTTCTTTTTTTCTCAACAGCTGATCCAGGAAAAGAAAAAGAGAAAAAAACAAGACAAAGGTGATGAAGCAGATTTTCATTGTCTTTTCTCCTTTTTCTTTCCCTCTCCTTCTGTTAACTTTCTTCTGAACTTTTCTTCTTGTTTTTCTTTCCCATCCCCGAGTCCAGTTTGGCCTGATTACAATAACTTAGAATAAAAATAACTAATAAAGATCAAATAAACTATGACAATCAAGTGGACCAGTATAGCAAAAGGCCCACTTGGGAAAGTAAATCTGTTGGGCATTTTTCTTGGCCTTCAGACAATAATTCTGATTGCTACAGTGCCAGACAGGACGCACAAAAAAAGTATTTACTGCCATAGTCAGACTGCCAAACACAACAAGATGCTCTCATCTGTGCTGTTGCAAGCGTCAGGTGGAGCTATTTTAATGTGGCTTCTCATTGTAAATGTCCTTACAGGCTCTGTTTTCATGTCACAATGACAATGACAGACTGACCAGATCTCCAACAAAGTGCAAAATATTCAGAAAAATGGCACAAAATGACAACCTGATCATAGTATAACTATATGTGTGTCAAACCAAAGAAATGAGAATATATCAATAGTGGTTTGAGCCTTTTGTTCAGTCTTGATAATGAACAAAAATACTTGCTGAGTATAAGTAGTAGTGAAAGTTATTTGTGAGAAACATCATAAAAAGTTCTTATGAGTGATGCCACCTCTTGACTATATATATATACATGAAAAGGAAGCAGCAGCTCAGGGGCTCACATGGGTGCTGATGTGGCTCCGCCTCAGGGTGATCCAGATTAATTGACTCTACCCATCAGGTGGAGGTTCATTTCCTCAGCTACTCACAGACAGAGCATCACTGTTTGTCCTGGACTCCCCAGCTGATCACACAGGTAGGAGACAGAAAGAGCTGAGCAACACCGGCAAGATAAATTCTGATTATAAGGAGTGTGGAAACACTAAGGATGCTGTTAGACTTATTACTTTATGGCATCTTAATCAGGTGTTGTTCAACTCAATTTAATGAGCAATGAACTTTTATTTCTTAATGGTTAAATTCTGGTTAAATTAAAGTTTTTTGACTTGAAACTGAAACTTTTCTTTGTTTGAGTTTCTTTGTTTTACAGCTCACAAGAGACATTTACCCAAAACTGAATTTTTAAAAATATAATTAAGAGAAATTTCGTCCTATTCATGTATGTTTCTCACAGACGAATTCATTCATTTTATTAAAATAATCACTTGCACAATTTTTTTTTTATAATTTGCAAGGAAACAACATTTTTGTTTTCATGTAATGATGTTGGATCTAGTTATTATATCAAACAAGGGTCTTCCAGTTGTAGAGGTACAAATGTTCACTACAAGCTTAGCTGCAGGCTGACTTTTGAAGACCGTTACCAGTGTGTAAATGTAAAGCTATTGATTGACTGTCACTTTATAGATGCAATCACTCATGTGAAGATACATTTATGGTTCGGCCATTTCCGTTTTTACTCAACATTGGTAATGAAAATGTAAACTTTGGCAAGCACAGCATTTTTTCCCATGAAGTAATAGATAGATAAGACTCCTAAGTATGGATGAAGCTCAGTATAGAAACTTACCAGGACTAAATAACTCTCCGTACAAGGTGCACTCATGGGCCAAGATCGTGTCTATTTGAGTCCTCAGTTGCAACCTGGCTTGGTGCTTATTTTAAGAGATCAACAGGGTAGAGACTTGCACACTTCGATGTCGATAAGCAAGGACTTTACTTTTGACCTGAAATGAACCTTGTCACCTATTGCTGGAAGTACAGATGGTTGAGTGGCTTAAAGAGCTTACCATATGGCTGTTCTTTTCACAGCTTTTGTGTTGGTGGGCTGAATAGCAGGTGAAGACAGGATCAAGAGGGCTGCCACCATACCCCGGGAATAGTTACCCCTTTGACCAAGCAGAGGAGGTAACTTCTTAGGTTAAAGTTGGGTTATAATTGCCCTAGAAGAGCCAGGGGCCACATATTCACTCTCAAATAAAGCTCTAAAACATCACTAAAACACCAGCAATGGGAAACAGCAAGAGCGGAGCTGTGTCCAAAGAGATCCTGGAGGATCTGAAGCTCAACACCAAGTTCTCAGAGACTGAAATTGCCCAGTGGTATGAAAACTTCAAGAAGCAGTGTCCAAATGGCCGCATCTCAAAAGAGGAGTTTCAGGCAATCTACACCAAGTTCTTTCCAGAAAGCGATGCCAATACATATGCTCAACACGTCTTCCGCTCCTTTGACACAAACGATGATGGCACTCTGGACTTCAAGGAGTACATCATTGCCCTCCACATGACATCAACAGGAAAGACCACCAGGAAACTCGAATGGGCCTTCTCGCTGTTTGATGTGGACAAGAATGGATACATCACCAAGTCGGAGGTCTCGGAAATCTGCACGGTGAGTGAAAGGGTGGTGATGAAGTGCTAAATCACGGCTTTTCCTTTAGCTTTGGCTTCTAGATGTTTGCACACTGTTTACAGAAACAGGTGGATTCACAAGAACAAAGGTAGACAAACGTATTATCTGCATAGAAGATGATGTTAGACTGTCTTGAACTACATGTGCAACCTGTAAAATAGCAAAACAGGACACTATAGTTGAAATTAAGACTCCAAACATGCTTGAATTCTGAGCTTAAACGTGGGTTTATATTTTCATTTTCTTATATATGATCATAAATAAAAAAATGTATTAATGCTGATAAATAGATTGCATTTAACTTAACCCTAAAGAAATCGACATAATCTTGCAAAGTTTTACACAAAGGTTGAAATGTCCATAGCTAAAATCCTTGGTAATGTCCTTGGTAACAGGTAATGTCCTTGATGTAAATATGTAAAAATTGTGTATGTTTCTGTTCTGTGTCTTGCGTACTGTTTGTTTGTATATGTGTCTTTCTTGCTGCTGTTACACCCAAATTTCCCTTTGTGGGAAAATTAAAGGATTATTCTATTCTAATATGTCACAACGTAGCCTCGGTTTTCCACATATTCGTTTTTTTACTCTTAGTAAGTGAAATGTTCTAATTTTAATACATTTCAAAGAAGCATGACAGTATGTTAGCTATTAAACTTTGAATAGCAAATGAAGTATAACGGAAACAAATGTGTGATGGGCACACAGGATTATTTAAGACAGTGTTTGAGCTTGTTTGATGTCATAAAAAATTGCAAAAATAAAGCACATAGAGGCAATATTTGATATGATCTGGTGCTATAAATGTACAAATAATATAATAATACAAAGTAAAATTTAACCGAAATAATTTGAATGGAATTGAAAATTAATCAGTTTTATCTACCACCCACTCAAATTATTTTTTAGAGAGAAAACTGGAAACTTTCATCAAAAAGCATCATTATTTGTTGACAGTATGCAGACTAATATAAAAAGGCACTTATAATTATATAAAGCCAGTGCCTTCTCACTTTAGTTTTTTGTGCCCACAGTAGTGCTCATCCTCCCTGATATGTAACAAAATTATTCGGTTTACATTTGGAAAAATAAAATTTTGCAGTACTTAACAAAATCATATATTCTTAAGACAGGCAGCTGAGGAGTATTACTGTGCTGTGCAGTGTTAATGTATCTTTATATTGCTTGGAAACCTTATTAGAACAGCCACATTTCATTCTTAAAGATTAGTATTCATATATTCACTAAATAAAGCCAGAGAGACCTAAAGAGCTGGTTGGTTAATCTGTAGAATCACAGCAGTTTGTTGCTGTTTTGGTTTGCGAGGCAGCTCATCAGCTCATAGATGTGACAAAGCGGTTCAGATTAAAGGAGGATTTGGGTGCAACGGCTCCGTTTCCCTCTGCAGCCACAAAAATAGATTTCACTGTATACAGCTGTAGCTCACACAAGTGAAATCTTTTCTCACTTTTCACCAAATTTTGTTATTTTTCCCTTGACAGGCAATTTTTAAGCTGATTCCCCCAGAAGAGATAGAAACGTTGCCTGAAGATGAAAACACAGCTCAGAAGAGGGCGGATAAACTCTGGAACTATTTTGACAAGGGTGACAACGGTAAGAAATAGTGAAGACGTATATGGACATTGGATATGGACAGATAAGTAGATCAGACTTGCAATAGTGAAAACACTGGTTTAGAAGTAAATCCCTGAGGAATGTGACAAATCTGGTAGTCATAGGTTAGGCTACTGGATTGTAATACTATCAAAGTAAATGACATTCCTCAATTACACAGTTTGTAATTGCAATGCCTTTTAAGTGTATCTATGTTTAATGTCCATCTTTGAAGACTTCCTTTTAGTTTTTGATATTACTCCAAATAAACAAAACTAATAAACTATAAGAAACTTTTTTTTTCTCTTTGCAGACCGAATTGCAGAAGGAGAGTTCATCCAGGGAGTTTTGGATAATGATGAAGCTCTTCGCTTGATTCAATACTCACCTTCAAAGTAGCTGTTCAGACATTTTCACTGTATATTTCTCTAGTTCTGTCAGTCTTTATTTTGTCCACTTCACCTGACAGCAATTTCACAAAACATGAACACATTGTAGGTGTGATGATAGTGACCAGTTGGTGTAATTTAAACAATGACACAGAACCTCTTGAATGGTTTTATAACATTTATTGTATACCCATATGTGCTGTCTAAGTTGCTTACAGCGCATAAAATGTTGAGGATAAAAATGGGACAAACTGTAAGCATTTCAAATTTCAAAGTATCACAGGTATGTGTCTACCATACAGACAACATCCCCTCTTAAACCGGTGAACAAACTTTTACAGCATGTAAATAAAATGTCCATCTTCTGATCGCTTCTTCCACATTTAGAAACTAAGTATTTAATTTGAATTTCTTAAGAAGATGAAAGCTACAAAGTGTCATTCAGAGTAGCCAAAATTATTACTACCACAAGTTATGTTCTACCTCCTTTTCTAACCCAAACCAACATATAGCCCATGGTGTCACTACAGTAAATGCAGGAGGTTTCCATTATCCTGGTCTAATTTCATGTCTTTTACATTCTTTATTGTATCCATATGTCACAGTCTTAAATGTTCAATGTCCTAGTTAAGTGGTGAATATGGAGAATAGACTTGTTATTGTAAGACAACATATGAAATCAAGTCTTGGTCCTGTGCAATACACTGAATAAAACAACATGTTGGAATTGTAATAAAGAGTTATTATCAAAAGTCTTTTTTATGTCGATGTAAATCTAAATCTAAAAACTGTGATTTCTTCTTAAAATTAAGAACTTAACAAAATAACAAAAACATTGTTAATGTTGGCTTCTGTAACATTTAAAAAATAATAATTAAAATTTAGTACACAAACATGCAGATTTTGATTGACTGATGCATGCCACCTAATTGAAGTTTATATGTTTTTGTTCAAGTCTGCATTTTGTTACTTTTTGCCACATTATAACACATTTACTGTCTGAAAAGGATTTGGCTTTCCGGTATACACATCTGTAGTTCAGGTCATAGTGATGTAACTCCACTGTTGATGCTCCACAGCTAAGTATGCAGTACTTGCACAAAATGTCAAGACAAAGTTAATAAAGCAACCGTGACAATATTGCCGTTTTTTCTTTATTAGAGCGTGCTCGAAATGAAGAAGTGAAGAAAAAATGTCAATCTGTAGTTGCTGAAGTATTCCACTGCTATTTACACAGCTGCACAGTTTTTGTGTCAAAAACAGGAAATGTGCTGAAGTAAGCAGTGTTGGGAAGGTTACTTTTAAAATGTATTCCATTACAGAATACAGAATACATGCCCCAAAATGTATTCTGTAACGTATTCCGTTA